CACACACACACACACACACACACACACACGCCACATACACATACTATACACACACACGCCACGTACACATACTATACACACACACACACACACCACATACACAAACCCTGCATACACACCCCACGCACATCACACATACACAACCACACACACCACACACACACCCCTACTGCGGTCCCCTCTATTTTCCTCACATCAGCCAGAATAATCATTTTAAAATGCTGATCTTGTGCCCAGCTGGCATGGCTCAGTGGTTGAGCACTGACCTGTGACCCAAGAGGTCACAGGTCAATTCCTGGTCAGGGCACATGCCCAGGTTGTGGGCTCGATCCCCAGTGCGGGGCGTGCAGGAGGCAGGCAATCAATGATTCTCTCTGGTCATTGATGTTTGTGTCTGTCTCTCTCTCTCCCTTTCTTTCTCTGAAATCAATAAAAACATATATTTTAAAAAAACACAAAACTTGGTTCAATGAATGGTGCATCTTGTGCAAGGTACTGAATTTAGAGGAAAAAAATGCTGATCTCGTGTTACTTCCTCGCTTTACAAATTCCAATTGCTTCCTATGGCCCTTAGAATAAATACCAGAGTCCTTAGTGGTGTCACAGGCCTATGGGTGGGCTGGGCCCGCTTCTCCGGCTCTGTCCCTCTCCTGGGTTCTCCATGCGGCGACCGCACTGGCCCCTGGCAGTCCCTCCGATGAGGCCTCCCACGGGAAAGCTTTCTTCCGTATGCAGCAAGCCCTCTGCCAGACCACTCATCCTCCTTCCCTCTGCCTCTGGAATCTTCCTCCTCCCAAAGATCCGCAGGACCTCCTGGAGGGCTCGTTAGACACCCACGGCTGCCCTCTCCCTCCCCAGGTCCTGGGTGGGGGTGGGGCCCGAGAATTTCCTCGCTGACAGTTCCCAGGTGATGCTGGTGCTGAGAACCCGGCCACATGTCTCAGTGCAGTCACTTCCTCAGGAGCCTTGACACCTGCACGCTAGGTGGGCCCCACGACACACCCCCACGAGGACCGCCGTGGTCCCTGGGAGCCCGTAGCCAGTTGCAGTGACGTGTCTACCTGTGTGAGTATTCAACTAACGCCTGTCTCCGGCGCGGATCCCAGCCAGGGCCTCGTGTTCAGAGGCGTTCACCCGAGGGAAGGAACGCGTTTGCTTCCACCCCTGCACCTGGGCCGGTTAGAGCAGCAGTCCCTGCCTCTGGCCTCCTGCCCTCTAAGCAATCAGCACATACCGTCAATTTTACCAGGAAAACACCTCGCAAACGGACCCTCTGCCCCTCCACCCCATGTCGCTGCTCTGATCCTCACTGGTCTGGATTAGGAAATAGCCCTTAAGTTCCTTCCGGGTCTCCACTCCCCGGCCCATCCTCCTCCTGTTGCCAGGCTTCCTCTCTCTAAAGCACAGACAGTTATGTTGCTCCTTGGCTTGAAGACACGCAATGCAAAACACACATGTGTTACGTTTTCAGAGAACTATGCACAAAGGAGAAAATGAGAGCCTGTCCACGCCGGGCTGCAGCTTAGACCCCGGTGGTGCTCACTGCACGCTGGCTGTTCTGTGCGACGGCACCGCTGAGGGGAAGGGAGGACACACTGGGCCTCCCTGCACTAATTCTGCAACATGTTTGTGGGTCTACATTTTTTTAAGTAAAAAAAAAATACTCAACATTCTCCAGGGCAGAAGGTCATCACATCATTAACAACCCGGCCCCAGGAGAGCCCCCCAGGCACCCCAGTGCCACGCACGCCACACTTCTGCAGTCCTCCCAACCTGCCCCTGGCCCCTCACCTTCCAACGTGCCCTGTGGCCCCTCACCTCCCAATGTGCCCCGTGGCCCCCCACCTCCCAACCTGCCCCGTGGCCCTTCACCTCCCAACGTGCCCCGTGGCCCCGCACCTCCCAACCTGCCCCGTGGCCCCTCACCTCCCAACGTGCCCCGTGGCCCCTCACCTCCCAACGTGCCACATGGCCCCTCACCTCCCAACATGCCCCGTGGCCCCTCACTTCCCAATGTGCCACATGGCTCCTCACCTCCCAACATACCTCGTGGCCCCTCACCTCCCAACATGCCACATGGCCCCTCACCTCCCAACGTGCCCCGTGGCCCCTCACCTCCCAACATGCCCCATGGCTCACCTCCCAACGTGCCCCGTGGCTTCTCACCTCCCAACATGCCCTGTGGCTCCTCACCTCCGCGTGTGGCTCACTCTTTTGCTGGAATTCCCTTCCTCCTTTTCTGCCTGGCACACTCCCACTCATCTTTCGAGCTGGAGAAGGTAGCCCTCCTTGCTGAGGCCCTCCTACCCTTGCCTCCTCAAACGAACCAGCCAGGCCTTTCCAGAGAACGTGGCCTTGCAGTTTCCTTCTGCACCTGTCACTCCATTACTTTGCTGTGGGGCCGGGGGACATATGTGTACGGTATTAGCTCCTCCCAGTCCGCCCCCCAGTTCTGCCGCCATTTTCACTTCGGTTCTCTGCTCCCATGCTCTCCCCTCGGCTGTGTAGCAGCCCCTCCAGTGGAGAATCGGCAGCACCCAGCCTCCTGTACCAGCACCTGCTGCACAGCCTGGTGCGCAGTGAGCACTCCGTTAACCTCTTCTCGATGGACCACCGCTCTCAATGCCAAGGACTGGGAGGGCAAGAAGCGTGGGCTAATCTGACCCTTATTTTGGAAGCTGAACAATGTTCTGACCGTGAGCAAGGCAGTGACGCGTCCTGTAGGTCAAGCCTGACTTCCCACCACCCTCAGCTGAGGTTGCCTAAACAGAGAGAATTCGAAGGCCTTAACGCACTCAGGATTACCGCACAGCGTGGGAAAGTGGACGTCCACCAGGATTCTAAGACCACTGCCCCCAAAGAAGCACCAAGTCACAGAGCATCACAGACACTCCCTAACCACAGGTGGAGGCGCGGACAGGCGGCGATTTCACCTGTACATGTACTTGCCACGCACGTACTGAGGTCCAGTTCCTAACAGATGCTATTTATACCAGAATCGTAACCAACGTGCCATCCATCTGCCTTGGCATCAAGAAAGCGTAATTCCACACCAGAGTGAAAAATGTGTGCGGCCCAGAGAAGAGGCATCAGCAGCGGAAACTGTTGGAACTGGTATCGCGGGGAAATTATCACTTGGCTAAATTGGGAAACGTGGCAAGCAACACAGACGATTCTGGCAGTTAGATCCCAATCCAAATCCTTGAGAAAAATCTTCTCTGTGTCCATTCTGCCATCAAATGGATGGTCTGTTCGGTTCTGGGACACATCACCCTGGTAAGTTCCCTCCTTGGCCTTCCATGTCCTCACTCAGTCATTTGCTGAGCAT